GGACTCATTTCGAAGGTATTAACGAGACGATTATAATGGTGTAACTTGTTAAAATAAAAATATATTTATAAACATGTTTTAATTGATATACGATTATGTATGTTAATTTGATAAATGTTTAAAATGAAACATTTAAAAGTAAAGGACGTAAAGTAAATTAATTAACTAATTATAGAAGTATAAAATGTAAATTTAAAATTATGATTTTAAAAAAATCGGTTCAATATGAGAAGGTGAGTGTATGTGAGGGGGTGAGTGTATGTGAGAGAGGAGTGGGTGAAAAAGTGAGGTAAAGGTAGTATAAAGGGTATCTTGGTCATTTAGTATTTTAAGACTTTAAGACTTTTACTAAATTTGCTTAATAAGATAGTATATATATATATATATATATATATATATATATATGGATTAGTTCAAATGTTAACCAAGATTATTGTGTTACTTTGTTAACCAATCTTGGTCATTGATTCTTACAATAAAGGGTTGTGATTAATCATGATAAAAAATTAAATTTTTAAATTTACAATTTAATGAACATATATGAACAAAGGGGAAAATAGTATTTAGATAATTTTCTTTTTTATGTAACTTCCATATCATTAATTGGGAGTTACAAAATCAAAAAATCTCATTATTTTTATTAATTTGTTTTTGTTAATATAAGAACCATATGAACACACACATACACACACACACATATATGAATTTAGACTGTATAGCATTTATGAATACAATATGAATATAATAAGAATAGTTGCTATACGAAAGTAATTAAATTAAAAAACAGGTATGAACACAAATATGAACAGTTTGTGAACAATAGTTTATTCGTTATGAACACATTCAAGAGCAAGCCAATGTTGAGATATGCAGCTAGTGTACATATGAACACAATATGAACACTTGTGAACAATTTTTTAACAATTACATATGAATTCAAATTCCGATTGTAGTCGTAGACGATTTTAACCTTTTTCATTTTCATTGTTGTCGATCTGTTTTCCAATAGGCTTATCCATATTACTCGGACGATATCGAAATCTTTACAATCGAAAATTCTTTAACAATTACAAAATCAATATCATTATGGATAGAATAAATCGAAATTACAAAGCATGAACACATATAAAAATATCAATATTACATAATCATCAATTAATTATAGAGATTTTTAGATTTATAACTCCCAATTAATGATTTAGGAGTTACATAAATGACAAATTACTTAATTACCTTTGTCATTAATATATGAGTTATATGTAAACCTAAAGAAAAGATGGAATATGATTGGTTGAGTTTGGTTAACAAAGTTAACATAAAAATCTTGGTTAGTATTTGAACCAAGCGCGCGCTCTCTCTCTCTCTCTCTCTATATATATATATATATATATGTATCTCTTAGAATACAAACAAGATTTCACTATCCTTTATGTGAGACAGAATCTCACTATGAAGACTATATATACAAACAAGATTTCACACCGTCTATTCATTGCTCTCGAAAGCCAAAACAACTGTGTCCTACTACCTTCCTTTTGGTTCTTCTCCTTCTCCTTGATTTTATGACATATAGAAACAATTATTGATTTAGTGTTAAGATTTTTGATATTCATATCATGTTGATTTATGTATGTTCTCAGTATTTGTTGTGCATGTTTTTTGATGCTTTGGAATGTTCTTGATGTCATGATGTCGAGTTCTTGTTCTTGATTTTCCTAAATGTTCATGTTCTCGATTTCCCTGATGCCACGCCAAATTTATAAAGCAAGATGATCGAAATTCTCTCTCATGAGGGGCACGGGATGTTCATGATAACAATCTTGAGAAGGACAGACGAAAACCCAAATGAAATAATCATATAGACTATATCTGTAAATTACTCAAATTATTTTTGGAGGAAGTTACATGTTTGGTCCCTGTTGTTTGCAACAAAATTATGATTGAATCTATCGTCAAACATTATGGAATTGGTTCTTTTTGTATGCGTTTTGTTTTGGATTGAGACCTTTGCCTTAACACTATGACTTCGCCTTCCGTTAAACCACCCATACGCCTCTTACATGAGGGGCAATTTTGTCATTTTTGCGAAGGTTATGCTCCTACACTTCCCGTCCTTCCTCCCCCATCCGTTTCTTAAACCAAATTCTACAAGAATGTGAAAAGCATAAACATTCATGAACATGCCCGTGTTTTTCAATGCAAATATAGAAATAAAAAAAGATAAACGTCGTTTTTCAACAAAGAATTAAACACAAATTAATCAATACAAATTTGTGTAAACGATATTTGTACAAAACACCTAAATCTGAATCAATCTTTACCATGTTTTACAAAAACCGAAAATCAGTAAGAGATCGAAAAGAAACCCTTTCAATCAACAAAAGCGTATCAAAACAATAACCCAAGGCAATGGAGGACGAAACAGAACAATGGAGGTTGGATTTCCCCGGAAAACTTTGAATCCTCTACGATGGTTTGTTTCTTGAACCCATAAAGAAATGATGGGTCGTAAACGATGCTCTTGGTCAGAGTAGGAATCGTAAAGCAACCTTTTTGAGAAGAAAATGCAACGACATCTACAACACGGACTCATTTCAAAAGAAAATACAAAATACATATCACAGGGTCCAATAAGTAGTTTTTTCCAAACCATAGGGGCCAAACATGTACTTTACTCTAATTTAACATGTGTTTGAGGACACAAAATCTGGATCGACTATGATTTACAAATTTGATTTTTACCCAAAATTCTCATCCTCCTACTTTCTTGGACGAGTGATTCAATCTTTAGTTTGCTATAACCGAAAAATGGATTTTTGATCGAGAGAGAAATATGGGTTTGCTAAACCCTAATCAAAGAGGATCAAGAGGCACCCAAGAAGATTATCATGGATCCAGCAACAATAACAGCACCTCAAGTCCATCATCACCCAGAAGCATCCATAATTCCAAGAAAAAATGGTCCAATTTGCTGCCTCTATTCCTAGTCCTAGTTTTCATATCGGAGATCGCATTCTTGGGTCGACTCGATATAATCAAGAAGGCTGACTTTGTAAACTCTTGGACTGAATCATTCTACCAGTTTACGACGTCGCCTCTCGTTTCCTCCACCAACTTTCTTGAAACTTCCGACGAGGTCCCGGTGGTGGGGATCTCGGATGCATCATTGGAGGTGGTCGGTTCAGGTGGTGACGGAGAGACATGCGAGGAATGGTTGGAGAGAGAAGATCATGTGGTGTATTCTAGGGATTTTCAGAAAGACCCTGTACTTGTCTTTGGCGGTGAGCAGGTTTGTTTTCTTATTTTTTAATAGCATTATCTCTTGTTTTAGTGTTTTTATTAGTTGCAGCATTATATATGTTATTCTTGTTAATTGGGTACTTACTACTTAGATCTTCAATACTGTGATCATATTATTAGAGGCAAGATGTTGCAGTTAATCTGTATTTGGAAATAGTTTAGATTGCATGGTGGAAGGATAAACGAAAATGGCAGTGTCATGGTGATATAGTAGTATGTAAAGTGGTAAACATGATGCCATTTAGGCATTTACAAGTGACACACTTTGATGTTTGATTTAGTTTCCATTATAGATAGAACTGATTCTTGTTCAAACTGGTTTGCAGAATCTCTTATGTTCGTGTTAGTTTCTAAAAGTGATTTGGTTTTAAGTAGCAACGAGTTTCTGAGAAGTAGAGATCTAGAAAGCCTAATTGTATGTGGGTTAAAACCTATTGGTGATATGAAGTATGATATGCTTATTGATTCTGGAAATTTCAAATTTTGAATTTCAATTACAAACTAGCAGTGCCATAAGAATTTTGGACTTCGTTTTCAAGTTTGTAAAATAATACAATTTGATTTATATAAATATTTGTTACTATACTATAAATTCTAATTCTGGCTTTGGTTTCTTGAAAAATCAGAGGCCCTGTGATGTGGGATGTAAGTTTCTTCCTCTCCATAAAAGGACACAGGCTGAGGCTGCAATTGGTTTAAGGCACATAGGTGAAACATCTGGTGTTCTTCGGTCAATGGAATCAGCTATATACTACCCTGATAATGATATTGCCACGGCTCGCCGGTGGGTAAGCACAGTTTAAGATAATGCAAATGATCAAATTACAAAGACTTTTCACGTGAACCCTTAGTTGGTTCTTTTATCTTGGTTTTGACCTTTCGAGGTTGTATTTTATAAGTCCCTACGAGTTATTAGACATGTGCTTCGGATGGCCAGTGGTTCTGAACTTTATTGGCATATCAATAGATTTGTGACACATGGTTGGGTGTTGTGAGGACTGCAATCTTTTGTGGGCTAGTAACGGAATTAGACCAACATAGACATTATCACTAAAATGAAAACATTGACTTGGTTTCAGTAGCTTTTTTATGATCCTCATTCCCCAAGTAGGTTCTAAAGATCAGATCAGAATTGAAATCCTGGAGTAAATTATGGGCATAGTTCAATTACTTTTATATGCTTCTCTATCATTAATATTGTCTAAAAAGGTGGACTGTTTGGTTTTAAGCTACTGAGTGGGAAAAATGATTACTTCCAGTAATTGGCATCAGGTGAAACAGCTTGTCTTATACCATAAATGATGGGCACTTTACTTATCTTAACAAGACCCTAGGTTATGGTGCATGGACTACAGAAGAACTGTCATGATGAATTTTGAAAATGAGAGCTGTGTACTTGTGCATTATGATTGGATACGCTTTGCAGAAGGGTAGACGCCACCCTTTGAGTCCCCCCACCTCACTGGTCCCACGATCATCATGGGGAGGTAAATCAGCGCATGCTCACTGTATAGTGAGAATATGCTTAAGCAAAAATTTGCTGATGACTTGTTTGATAGCAAAATGTTTTGATTCAAATATACTTGAACTTGAATAGGAGACATATTTTGACCAACCAATGTACCTTGTTCTAAGTGATGTACTTATTATATTCTGGGAAATTCAGTTGTGGTAAATGAGGAAGGAAATAAATTCCCATTTAAGTCAAGTTAATAAATTCTGGTATGCAAATTCTTTTTTCTTTGTCAATTTAGCAATTGTATGAGTAGAGCTTATTAGAATTTAGAACTAATATTTCTTCTATTTCTATATCTGCAATATCTGTAAGGGGAATTGAGAAGAGGTTTGACCGCAGCACTTGAGAGGGCTGACTCCCTGCCTGTCCTTGAGCTATACCTTGTTGTCCCTGTTCTTCCCTTGAATACCTTCTGATACACATAGGAAGCCATGTGCTGATAGTTCATATAAACATATGTAAAAGCAAGGCATGCTGTTGGAGGAAAGTGAAAGCTGAAATAGAGTCACCAGTAATGTAAAGCTCTCTGGTTGTGAACTGTGGTGTTTCTGACCCAGTAATATACTTCTGTTTTGTTCTGACTTGCACAGCTGCCAGTAATGTTATTGATGTTTTATTCCCACTTGTTAAGCACTGCTGCTACTTTGCCATATTTTTTTTGACTGATCAAGATTTCAGTTATCACATTGCTGGTTGAATTTTTTCTGCTATTTTTCCAAGATCTTCCCATCTCCATCTCCATCTTGATTTGGGATTTTGTGCCTGGTTACCATATTGTTGCTGCATTTATATTTTTTTTATGTTGCCACATAAACATGGTTTATTCAAATCAAGTTCAGAAACAACTATTTCAGCTTCGATTTTTTGGATCATATTAAATCTGAATGTGAGAGATGTTTTAAATGATTGTATTTAGAATTCTGATTATATTGAACAATTCCAACTGGTCCCTATGGTCTTTACTTGTGGTTGTGGAAAGTGTGTTGTTTGACTAGGGGTCGTTATTCTACCTAGGACCCTAACCTTTGCCCATGACCGGTGACGAAAGAATGGATGCTGATAGCAAACACAGCATGATGTCTCTATGTAATGTTTATGGAGCTAGATGTAGAAATGCTTTTGCATGAGTTGTTTTTGGGTACAAGGAGGTGAATACAAGGAGGATGATTTCTACCACACCTAAGAAGATAATGTTATACCCTGGGGTCAACAAGTTTATAAGTGCAGTCAGTAAGTCAATAGAAGGGGATGGTATAAATAGGGAAGGGGGTTAGAGGAAAGGGCATTTTGTTTTGTAATCAATTAGGTGAGAACCTTCAGAAGAGACCTGGCCTCTAGAAAGTCAGAGAATCGATTGTAAGCCATCTGTAGAGAGTGTAATCTTTTGATTTCTCTATCAGTATGATGAATATGCATCAGATAATCATTACTGCAACGAATCTTGACACGTTAAATGGCATTGCTCCAATCATCCTCTTGGTTCCCACCACCATCTTAACCGCCCTTCGCTCAGGTAGAATGCTACATTATCTTCATCCACAAGGCCTTCTAGTGAGGAGACGTTTTATTTACAACACTTCCTTTTTGATGAGTTATCGAACCGAAAAGGAATAGTTTGATTTCCAGCCACGGTACAATATCTATGGTTGCTCTCATATAGGTAAGAAGAAGAGGAAACTTTCAGAACGAAGAGAACTAGTCCTAAGGCTTCACCTGCTGGAATTCTACAAGAATAATACAACAAACTTCAAATGCTAATACAACACTTACAAGTATATTGTTTACCTTCCTTTTTGCTTATTCTTTGTCCTGGTTAATTTTGGGCCACAGACTAGTAGTAGTAAATTATCGACCACCTTTTGCCACTTCCACTCATTCCTCACTCATTTAGCTACTGGCTTATCAAGTCCGGATAGTGGCATCGGATCCACTATTGCCATCAGAAATTTGCATTTACCTCTCTATCTTATTTGAACCTAACCCTGGTACTGTTATATCTGTTGGCCAAATAACAAAAATCATCACTGTTCTGTTCATCTCTTTCTTACCTGTTGTGGTTTTCAGGAGCCAGGGACAATTCAGCTTATTATTGTAGGTTTTGAGTCTCCCAGCTCGTAGCAAACATGTATCAAATAAGTAAGAGGCTGCTTATTGCCAGTTGAGACATCTTTCTTTGACTTCCTTAAAGAAATTGATACATTTCCAAGCTGTTTTTGTGAGTTGTGGCAGGTAAGGAAACTTGCTCGTTCCTGTTATCCGTTGAGGGAGACTAGTTGAGTCAGTTCTTATCTTAGTTACTGCATTCTTATGTGGGAGGACCTATGGCATTAATTCCATTTTGAGATATAGGTATTTTATTACTCATATAAATATAGGAGATTTTTCTCTATTTTTTCTGAATTTTTGGCTTATGTTAAACGTTATCCTCTGAGAGAGTGTGATCGAGTTGGTTCTAATTTCAGTTAGTGCATTCTTACATGAAGGATGTATCCTAATCATTCCATTTTGAGAAATAGGTATTTTGTCACTTACTTTGATGAGTTCCTTGACTTTTTATTTATTAAAATATAGGAGCAGGATACCTTTGTATTTTGTGAATTTCCTGTTTATGTTGAAAGTCAGTTCAATGTATCTATAATAACCCTTTATAACGACAACACCAAGGGATAGATACTTCACAAAAGAATTCAGTTGATTCAAGTTTGAAAATGTTGGATGTGTATGAATTGTCATTTGTTACATACTGTTATAGAATGGCATCGGTTAATGCAACAACCATTGTCTGTTAAATGTGGAGATGAAGGTTATCTAGAAAATGACACTTGGAGCTAGGGACCTCTTCCTTCTGAGAAATGCTATGTTTGATGTAAGTGGTTATTCACCATAAAGTTCCATCTGATGGTTCTTTTCATGTTTGAAAGATGGATTAGTGGAGAATTCACCTTAAAGTTTCTTCTGATGATTCTACTGAAAGTTGGATTATAGTGGCTCAAGGGTATTCCCAAGCATATTGGATTTGATTATGAGCAAACTCTCACTTCAGTAGCCAAAATAGCGTCTATGCACGTCTTTGTTGCTCTAGTTGCTATCCATCATCAGCCTGTTAAGATTGTCTTTCTCAGTAGCTAATTTGAGGAGGTATATATGGATCAACCAGTAATTCACTGTTTAGGAGGAGGCCTCCAAGGTTTGACGTCTTCGATCCTTATATGCCCATAAAACAATCCCCCAGGCCCTGTTTTGCTGCTTCTTGGAGGCACTTCAACATTTTCGGATATCTTGAAGTGACGTTGATTTTGCTGTATTCTACGGACCTCAACATTTTTATCACATTATCTTGGTTTATGTAAATGCTACTGCACTCGAATGTGGTTGCTAAGGTATTGGAGGAGTTAAAGAGCTTCGTTTGGAAGCAATTTCAAGTCATTGATCGTGGAAGTCTTTGATATTACTTGGGGATCTAGGTCTTCTCATGATCTTGGCAGGTATATTTCTGTATCGCATAGGATCTTCTATCTAGATGTGAATTAGTGGGGTGCAAACCGCTAGATTCAACTACTTAGACCGTTACATGTCGAGATATCTCATATATTGCAAGTGTAGTTCATCAGAGCACTCGCTAAAGAAGGTCTAGGAAAGATTTTCAGGTGTTTTCTGTCGTTGATACTGATTAAGCTACTTCTTGTCTCCCTTTCTAGTGCAGATCTTCACTTGTGGATGTACTTGGTCTTCTCTGTGTTTGTTCTGTGCAGATCATAGAGCATATTCTCAATTTGAAGAAATGAATGTTGACTTATATATATATATATATATATATATATATATATATATCCAATTTATGAATTTGTATTTCATTTCTGTTAGTCCATACTCTGTTATATGTTGGTAGTTGATCTCATTCAAAAAAAATAAAAATTCTGACACTTTATTGCCTGAGGCGTGTTGGTGTCAACGGAGTGTCAGATACCGATCTGTAGGCTATTTTAACAAGTCTTTGTTACCCTTTTGACAATTCTATGTTGCCTTCTTGCTACAAAAAAGTTATTAAGAAACTGAATCTAAGAAATTTGATATGTCCATTTCAGAAAGGGATATGATGTCGTTATGACAACCAGTCTCTCCTCAGATGTCCCTGTTGGATATTTTTCTTGGGCAGAGTATGATATAATGGCCCCACTTCAGCCAAAGACTGAAAAAGCTTTGGCAGCTGCATACATCTCAAACTGTGGTGCTATCAACTCTCGGTTACAAGCTCTGGAAAAACTTGAAAAGTTTAATGTCAAGATTGATTCCTATGGCGCTTGTCACCACAATCGTGATGAGAACGGTAAGCATATGAATATTTTTCTGGAAGTAAGTAACTTGAGATCAACATCTTGGTCTTCCTTTTGTTGTAAAAATATAATTGGGTAAATCTTGTTTGTTCCTCTTGAAAACATTTGATACAAAAGATTCTCTTTAGGCTCTTGCCAACAAGCCAGTAAGTAGATATAATTAGCAAATACCCTCCCCAATCCGTTAAAGAGTTGTGCTTTGATTTATATTACCTTTTATTCAAAACAGATTCGGCTCCTGGCTTATATTAAAATGCCATCACTTTGCCAATTCTCTTTGCAGTGGACAAGCTGGAAGCTCTGAAGCATTACAAATTTAGCTTGGCTTTTGAGAATTCCAATGCGGAAGATTATGTCACTGAAAAATACTTCCAGTCTCTTGTTGCAGGTATAAAGTATATGCTCTTTTTGTGTTATTTTTGCTTTTGTTCTCGGACTACCATATGGATATTTAAGTTTACTATTTCTCTTTTAGTAAGCTGCCTTCAACTCTTCTAATTTGCTCAAGAAATAGAGTAGAATTGTAGTTTTGGACTTCAAAACATGCTTCTGATGATGCATGCTAAGAAAACGAAACTTCAATGTAATGTATAGGATCTGTTCCTGTGGTTTATGGTGCTCCAAATATCCAAGATTTTGCTCCGTCACCTGGTTCTATTTTACATATTAAGGAGTTAAACGGCGTAGGATCAGTTGCCAAGACAATGAAACGCCTTGAAGAGAATAATACCGCTTACAATGAATTCCTAAGGCAAGTTTTGTTTACTTCATGTGAATTTTCAAAAGAGTTCAGAATTTTGCAACTGAAATAATGTACTCCCTTCGTCCCAAAGTAAATGTCCACAATGAAAAAGGCATACAGTTTTAGAAATGTGTAACTATTACACCTTTTAATTAATTAAATGACAAATTTGCCCTTTATGATGAAGGGAGTAATGAAGTTCTCCATCTCATAATTAAGGGTAGAATTGGAAAGTAGGCACTTCCATTTGAAAGTGGACACTTATTTTGGGACAAATTAAAATAGAAATGTGGACACTTATTTTAGGATGGAGGGGAGTATATAATTGCAATGGACTCTATATCTCAGTTGCAAATGCACAAAAAGAAAAGAAAATCCAATCATGGTAGATATTTGTTGTTGATTTGTTTCTCAATATGATTATTATGGAATTGGTTGAAGTTTTGGTTGTCACCCCATATTTTCTACTGAAATTTTACAGGTGGAAACATGATGGTCCTTCTGATTCTTTCAAGGCTCTTGTAGATATGGCTGCAGTTCATTCAGATTGTCGTTTATGCATATTTCTAGCAACCAAGATCCATGAGAAAGAAGAAAAAAGCCTTGGATTTCCAAAGCGGCCTTGCAAGTGTACTAGGGGCTCAGAGAGTGTGCATCATCTTTATATAAGAGAAAGAGGGAGGTTTCAGATGGAGTCTATATTCTTAAGGTAATGTTTTCTTTCTTTATATGCACATTGATAATATACACAACAACACACCAAAAGGCCTTTGGCCTAGCGGTATCATAGCCTTTGGCCTCCTAGGAGGTCAGGGGTTCAAACCTCACCATAGGTGAGGAGGGTGTGTGAGTTTATTTGTTGCATTTGCCGTATATAAATATTATATACTTCAAAAAAAAAAATATACACAACACCACATAAGAATTTAAGATTTCATTTGTGGAAGTGTGTTTAAAGAAGAGATCTCCATGCACACAAACCTTTTGGAATTGCATTTATCGTGTAATATTGTATCTATGCCCAATGAAAGTGCGTATAAATTTGGATGCTAATGGAACATTTTAACCCGATGCCCTTTTTTTGTTTATTTCTTCATTTTTGAGCTCATAGTCTTACATTCTTGCTCTACCCTTTTTGTTACCTTTAGTTGTCCACTATACATTTGTTTCAAGGATTTTGTGGATTCAATGTAGCTCCCTTTTAAATTATGAATCAAAGGGAAACATATTTGTTGGAGTCCCAAATCGGCTTCACTTTGACAATTTCTCTTTAATATATGTTGACCTCCCTTCTCTCCTCAATGGCTCTTTTGGACAGTAATCTAATGAGGTTCAACATGTTCTCATGATATCTTGTTACCCTGTAAACACCACCATCATCACTATTTCTCTCCTATTTATGGTTAATTACACTATGTTCTCATCGTCTTTACTCGTATAAGGTGCATGAACACACTAGTCAAACTCTAGTAACAATTTGTATTCAATATGCTTTGAAGGATTGACTTTTTGAATCTCGACTTTTCACAAACCAAACATCTTTTTCTGCAAAAATGTCAAATAACACCTTTGTTTGTGAGTACTTTTACCACATCATTTTTGCAAGGTGGATGTATTTTCAGAAACTGTTTCTTGAGAAGAAGGAAAGATTTGCATACATCTTTCTCCACCAGATCCGACTTCTGGATTGGATATGCGGGGTTTGCTTGGTTTGATTTGCAATGATGAAAGGATGCTTAAAGTGAAGAGCGGTTACGAAAGTGTTGTGTGATAAGAAAGTACCGCTAAAACTGAAAATGGGAATTCTACAGGGTAGCCATAAAAGACCAGCCATGTTGTATGTTTTTTAGTGTTGTGGCAGTAAAAGAGCCCCAAGTGAAAAAATTGGAAGTTGCAGAGATGAGGATTTTGAGATGGAAGTGTGGCCGGATCATAGATAGATTGAGGTGGTTTGGGCACATCCGTAACAGACAATTGATCGCACCAGGGAGGAGAGTGGAGAGAGTGATGGTTGACGGGGTGAGGAGGAGGGGTAGGCCTAGAAGAACCTAAGATGAACAATTGAGGACGGATAACAACTTTAGGCATTTCCGAGGAGATGATCTCTGATAGGAGCTCTTTTTTTTGACTATATAATATTATACAAGGCAAATGAAACTCACACACACCTTGCTTCAGGGAAACACTCTCGATCCTGGCGGTTGATCCCAGAACCTACTTTCGAGTGGGATGTACTTGGTTCGTCTGGTTTGACATTTTTATTATTATGAAGTATTATATCATTTTCTGTTGTCATTTTTGCAAGAATGATTATTTGCAACGAATGGCGGTCTTTAAGATGGTTTCCTTCTTCATGTGCTGTTCACATGTCCACGATCCTCTCTTTCTGGTGTCGAAAATGCTAATGTGGATAGATGGCGTTGTTTGGGCAGGTCGGGAAATTTGACGATGGCGGCCATGGAATCTGCAGTGTTGTCCAAGTTTAAGTCTATAAAACATGAAACTGTGTGGAGGAAAGAAAGGCCAGAGAAGATCAGAGGTGAGAAAAGGGAACTCAAAGTTTACAGAATATATCCTGTTGGCATGACACAGAGACAAGCTTTATACACCTTTCATTTCAAAGGTATCTCATTCAGAAGTCACATAGAAAGCAATCCATGTGCCAAGTTTGAGGTCATTTTTGTATAAATAATCACAACTAAATTTTGATCCATTTTTAGTTTATGTGATTGAATCTTTGGTTCCATGCAAACTTTCTCTAAAATTGTAGCTCTTTTTTTTTACATGTTTCTTTTTTGTGAATTTTGATGGGTGTTTGGGATTGCTTATAAAAACAACTTATTGACTTATTCCGATGTGGCACCGATAATAAGCACTTTTGAATGTTTGGATAAACGACTTATACCGGTGCCAAACTGGTAATAAGGAGTTTTTGAAGAAGTTAAAACTCTTTTGACTTATAATAAGTTGACAAATGCTTTTGTAGAAAAACATAAGTTGTTTTAAATAAGCAATCCTAAACACCTAATAAATTTGTATAATAAGCAAAAGAAAGATTAGTCGGCGGACTTGAATCTTGTATATTTTGAGCAGTCGAAAACTAGAAGTTTTGGTTAAATATTCGAACGTTGATTTTTTTAATCTAAATGTCGTAAAATAGCCATGAAAATCATTAAAGTATTGCAAAAAGTTTAATGTAAAGCCATTTCGTCATCAAAACATCGAAGATCAAGTGATGATTAAATCCGATAAAAACATGGTCGAAAAGTTTATAAAATGATTATTATGTCATTTAATTTAATTCTAATCTAAAATTCATCACATTAATATCGAAAGGTTGGTATTTTTATTAAACCTATAAACTTAATTAAAAAATATTTTTTTTAAATGTTTTCGGTCTATCTGATTAAGGACTCGACTAACCTTTTATGTAAATTGAATAATTAAATTTAAAAATAAATAAAAATGATTATTTAGGAGTGTTTGGAATTGCTTATGAAAACTGTTTTTTAACTTATTCAGTCTGACACCGGTGATAAACTGTTTCCTGATGTTTGGTTAAATATTCAAAGGTTAATGTTTTATAATATCATTTTAACTCACATTTAAAATAGATACACAGATATAAATACAACTATAAAACAAAAGATGGTTTGGTGGTGGTGATGAATAAAAATGCAAAAAGTGAAAATCAAGAGAAGCAGGGAAATGATGGTTTGGGTTTGAAGGCAATTAAAGCGAGAAGTGAATTGCAAGTGAATTAAGAAATGAATGTGCTCCCAATTCCTCAATAAACTCCCCCCGCCCGCTGCTTGAACGTCGATCCCACCACTTTTTCTCAATCCTCTCAACCTACAATTCATTCATCCATCCGACAATCAACATATCCCTTTCTGGGTATCTCCAATTTCAAACACCATTCACCATTTCTTGATGCATGCCCGTTAATTTGTTCGCATTGCCATTGCTTGCTTGCCTGTCATGGACTCGATCTGGAGTCACAATGTCGTCCCAACTCCCTCCCGTTTTCTTTTCGCTGTTTACTTCGCTTTTGGTTCATTTGGTGCCAGGTTGTTGCTGGATAAATACGTATATCAAGTAAGATTCACTTGCTGCTCGACTCTGTTTCACTTTTCCTCGCTCATTTCTTCGATTCTTTCTACTTAATGCTATTTCAACTCTGACTTCTTTTGATGTACTTACAAGTAATGTGGGCGGTTTAGGTTTTGTATCTTTTCCTCATTACCAATATCAAGATTATCATGGGTATCTTAATCTTGTAGTGCTTTACTTAATGTCATGAACCTACCGGCTTTCTAAAGCTAGGACAACATAGACGGTTATTCGGATTTCTTTGGAAATTTTCTTGTCTAACCTTGTGAAAATGTGCAACTTCTTTAATATGCGAACAAGAAAACCAGTTTCAGTTTGGTGTTCACTTGTTATTTTGTTAATCTTGAGTGTATTTATGTGTATGGTGTGAAAGAATCAAATTGAAGGGTATATCACCAAAACCCCTGTTTTCTTTAATCTTGGCCACCATAAATAAGGGCTTGATGAAAGCAAGTTTCCTTTCCAATCTGAGACTGCATTGATTACAACTTCTTGCTATGCATACTGACTGATGAAATACACAACCCAATGAGATCCCCATCCAAGAAAATAAAATAAAATCAATTATGTATTTATGTCATGGCCCTTGGAACCCTCTTTTGTTATCTACTGTTTTTAATTGAGTGAACTCAAAATTCCATAAAGCACCTAGTGCACCTTTTGTTGCCCTCTTTGTTCATAATTCAACATATAGTTTATAAAACCAGCTGTATTTGTAACCTTATTAATTTACGAGTTAGTGTACATGATGTTAGAATGATGATATATTGAGGACAAGTAGATGATGTGATGCTACAATGTGGCAATCCAATTCCATTTGATGAGATATTGATGTGTGGTGCTTATGTAACAATCAAGATTTACCATATGATGTTCAGCACATGGATACAAACTTAAGTAAAATACATGGACAGAGGGAGAGAGGTTCCAGATTTGATCAATTAAATGGAGTTTAGATAAGATACTGCTTATGAGATTTAAAATTCTTGCTTACTTACTTTTTGGAGATGGTTCATTTATGTCCTATGTATCATCTTTGTGTGTATTGATACTGTAAGACTGTCAATTGCAAAGGAAAGTTGTCTATGACCACACTAGTTTGTTAAATGTAGAGGTATTAGGAATAATATGTAATATGTAATTGGAGCGTAAAAAATAGTGACTAGTAGTAATATCCAAGAGAAGCAAAATAATTGGCACTCTTTCTATTGTACTCATTTATTAGTCTTCTTTTGAACCAATGTGTGCTTGGTGCTTTTGAAGGGCATTCTACTTGATGGTAATAATGGCTACAAATTCGTTTTGGGATGAGTGATGACTTAATGACATCAGCCTATTTATACATGTGTATATTTTTCATTAATCTTATTGCTCATTGTTGGATGCTTATGTCATTTCTGTTTGGTTGTGGTTAGAGATATGACAGAAAGGAATTGCAAGCGCCTGTAGTTTATTTTAGTTGATTTTAACTTGTACAATTTAATTATGCTTTCTAATTTCATTTGTTTTGTTTGGGAACATGGGTTTATTTTATATTGCTTTGTGGGCATATATATATAGGCCAGACTAATTTATTAGTAAGTTTTAGAAATTCTTTCGGTTAAAATTCATCCTGCATCAGGGCAATTGAACACTTGGAAGGAATGGCTTTAAGCATCACACTCTCCAGTTGTGATTACCATACACCAATATGGCTGTATTAGAAATTGTACTGGAAGAAATATTACTTGATCACAATGACAATTGTCTTGACACTCCCTTTCTTGGTTGTACTAATTCAGCATTTGTGTTCCTCTATTTCTACTCAGAACAGTTTCCCTCCTTGGATACGCGTTATTATCTTTAAGCAGAGCCTGGATATGTGTGCTTTAAACTTCAAAAAACAACTAATGTATTCAGCAATATTTTATAGGATCAACATGGTTTCCATATGCTCTTTTCCTTTGCCTGATTGCAACCATACTCTTATTTAGATACTAATGTGTAAAAATGAAATTTTCATTCTGATTTGTGATTGATTGAACAGATTTATTTGATAAAGAATAGTTTTTTGGTTACTGGTGGATGGTTTACAGTTCATTACTGGGCACAAATTATGTCTAAATAACATTAGGAGTTATTTTTGACCTACAAAAGCTAACTTTGTTCGTTTTTCTTGAGCTTGTGTTGCATACATTCATCCAATTCCAGTCATACTACCGAGAGTCGAAAGATTGTGTGCCAAAATGACTGCAGTGCAAGCGAAGTAGCTTGCAGTATATCAAGATATGGGGAGCAGAGCCAAAAATCATATTATCATGAAGCTGTATACATTTCATATGTTATATAAATAATGGGTCTATTTAGATGTATATATCTGAGAGGCAAAAGTGATGTTCTATGACCAGTTCTAAGTGATTGCAAAAGATATGGATATTTCTATGACCAACTCTAAGCGATTGCAATGATTGGTTTTATAGAGATAAAAACATATTATAAACATTGCAATAAAGTTCTTATACATATATGCTACCCTGCAAAAGAATCTGTGACCTTCGATGATAAAAATCCCAAGCAAGCAATTTCTTCCCCAAATCTACTGTACCCGTGACATATACATCTCCACCAAACTTGATAAACAAGAAGAGGATATCTAACTTATTATCTTTTACATTTTTTCAGACACTGTCCATCTGGTTGATGAGCAAGGGGGACACTCCATTGAAGATCAATAAAACTACAAGAGCAAAGATTGCCAAATTCACAGAATCTATGTGGAAGCTTACATATTATGCCACTATTGAATTTTGTGTTCTGGCAATTACTTATCATGAGCCTTGGTTCAGAGACATAACAGGATATTTTAGAGGCTGGCCCAATCAAGAACTAAAGTGAGTAGTTTATTTTGTAAAATCTGAGATGTCACTATTGTCTCTCCTCTGTATGTAATTTTTTTTTTCATTGGTATTGCCACATACTTTGTTGATTGTGTTTCTTTGGGTGTTTAAACTTCTCCGATTTAGGAGGATTCTTGTATAATTTATTGGTGAACTTTTCAGAATTGTCCATTCTATAAGTTTAGGACACGAGTCTTTCTTAAATTGTGGCTACACTTTATGCAAGGCCACATCAGTTGGTCAACATATTAATCAAGTTTTTGTCATACCAGGTTTTCTCTAGAGCTCGTCTATATGTGCCAATGTGGGTTCTACACCTATAGTATTGCTGCCCTCCTTCTGTGGGAAACTCGAAGGAAAGATTTCTCTGTGATGATGTCTCATCATATAATCACTGTTTTCCTAATTGGCTACTCCTACATCACAAGGTATCTTTCTATCCATATTCATTTTTTAGTTGCAGAGTATTTGAATTACTTAACATGCCATAACATGGATAAACGGCGTTTGTTATCGTATGTAATTTTTTGTGTTCTTATTCTGTTTATGAATCAAGTGCCTGATTTTTTCTGGAGGGTATTTTATACCAATCACTTATGTAAATGTCTTGTTGCTTTATGTTGTTTCCTCAATATGCATATCTTTTTTGAAATCAGAGTTTGTTACCGATTTACCGCATGGGATCTTGTTTCTATTCCTATTCTAAAATATGACTTACTTCTTAAGGCAACCCACTAGTGAGAATTGTTATTTCTTCCTCTCTCTTTTTTTTTTTTATTCGAGTTTTGCTGCAAAGTTGGCAAATAATTTATCTCTGTGTGGAGCTTTGGTACATCGAGTTGTTCTTTTTGGTATTTAATATTTGTATATGGCAAATAATCATGCATACTTCTCACTTTTGGTGAGGTTTAAACAGTGTTCCAAAAAGCTTGCCGCGTAACGGCTTAAGGCTTGTGTCTCACGCGACGTTATGCCTTTGGCACGCCATGACCTAATGCGTGGTTTTTATAATGCGATATTTGATTTTTCTTACTTTTTTAATGTTATTAGTTAGCTTATAATGTATAACCTAATTTAAATTATTTAATATCATTGACTCACTAAATAGTAGGAAATATATGTTTCTATGTATAATAATGTATATGATATAAAAATTTACCACCATAAATCACGCCTCAAAAAACGCTGCGACCTCGCCGTAGCTCCTAAGGCTTGAGGCTTGACCTTGCCGCCACGCCACGCCTCATGCCATTTTGAACCTTGGGTTTATACCCTTGACCTCTTGAGAGGTTGGGCTCTACCCGTAATCCAAGTACCACCGGGCCAATGACCCTTTGGCTACATTGAGTTTTAGCTGTAGATGAAAACCATCATTGAGTAATCAGTTATTGGTATCTGAAAATTTATGCTGAAAATGATCACCCAACTTCACTAAAAACCTCTTCTTTAATTGTTTCACACACCCTTTTCTCCTCCAACTTTTTATAAAGCATTTCATCCTTGTGTTTGGGGTCCCAAATGGTGTCTTACGAAAAACTTGTGACTACTTATGCGTTAGTTATGTGTGACAAGTTTAGAAAGTTAATTTGTTTGAAAGTTTGATTTCACATTTAGATAATCTAGAAAAATACCTCAATGTTTATGGAGATTGAGGTTTGATTGAGGCAAACTAGTGCTTGAAGATGAAACAACTACTTAAAAGGCGGTTGAAAAGAATTGCATGAAAATGAAGTGTTTATGATATTGAAATAGGTTGAACATTAAAAGCGGTGGTCAAATTGAAAAAGGTTGTGAGATTGGTTTGTCTTGTTTTCAACCAATGATGTTTTTAACTTGATCAATGTTGCAAGTGTTAGCATCAAATCGACATGTCTAATGGTATACAGAGCTATTTGACATAGAACCCAAGGAATTGATAAGATGTCATTAGCTGAACAACATAGACCCAACTCCAAGCTAGAATTTTGACATATAACCTTCTAAAAATGGGCACCCATTAGGATGAGGTTCTCCATCTTCCCATTGAATGATTGTTGGATAAACATGCCATGACTAAACGTGAGCACGTTTCTTTTCTCTAGGATAAATGCGGCCATAATTTCATGTGGGTCGAATACTTTATCTTAGAGTGTGGTCGAATAACTCAAGAAAATCCCCCTTGATCAACTCAGATTGCTAACTAATCAAAGTTTTTCTTTATGCACGTTGTCATCTCTCTGACAATGGGTGGACAAAAGCAACCACAAAATGGTCCCTTTGATGATCTAGTAGATGAGCATGACGATGGTGTAACTTGATTGGATCTACTAGCAAGAATTACCAAGGATTGTAAAATCCTCAAGAGTCAACAACTAATTAATTAGCATGGGCAACTTGTTGCCATTCCCAACAAGTTAATGAAATGAAAACCGTTCCCTAAATGCATTTATGTGGTGTTTTGCATTGTCCCTACAATCTATGCATATTGGGAGGTAGATGGAGTTTATCAAAATTAGAATAGTGTGTTCAGGCATTTGACCAACCGCTGACCCTGAATTTGTCTAATAGTTAATAGAAGTGTTATATATCTACGTGAAGGAGCTATTAGTCGGCTATCGCAAATTAACCAATAAAGCTAGAGAGATAAATTCTCTAAGAAGAAGAATAGGAGAGACCAAGGGCCTGTTTGTTAGCAGCTTAATGTGACTCGCAACTTATTCAGTCAGCTATAGATGATTGTTTGGTAGTGGCTTAATGATACAGAAAGTGGCTTATTTAGTAAGCTTCTAGGGGGGAGCTTATGCAGAAAACCAAGTTTTTCAGGCCTGCTCTTTAATTAAAAAACAAGCTCATTCCATCTATGAAAAAACTCTCCCAAACAAAGACCTTCCCAATATATATAAGAAAGATTAATCCACATAGACAGCTTTATCCATACATGACTTAATGGAAAACCAACCAAACAGCACCTAAGGAATGCCTGCCAAGAGAGAATTGACATACTTCCGTGTGAGGACAGTGACTCAATAATATGATAATAAGGTTTGTCATAAGATTACCTATTCCTTTGACGTATCAAAATCAAAACAAATTTTTGATATGCTTTTTTGAATGATAAACTGTTAAAATTAGGTGATCAAGTTGTAATGCGACCATCATGCGAGTTAAGGGATAAATACCATAAATATCACAATGCTTATGCCCACCTTATTAATGGGTTTTTCTGTTTTAGAAGTGGATATAGAGCTAACCAAGTATGATGGTAGCCATGCTGAACTGTAGTTTCTTTTTAGTTTGCAATAAGTAGTTCGTGATTTCCATCGATTAGGAAATCAACCTCTCCTCTCCTATTTAATACACATTTACCTGCGAAATGAGTGTAAGCTTCATCAACAGGGAAAAAGGAGAGATAGAGAAGCCAAAGAAGAGCAATTACCGAAGGGCCCTTCGCCTAGCGCTATAGTAGTCTTTGGCTTCCTAGGAGGTCAGGGGTTCAAACCTCACCAAAGGTGAGGAGGGCAAATGTGAGTTTATTTGTTGCATTTGCCATATATAAATATTATATATTTCAAAAAAAAAAAGAACAAGAGCAATTGTAAAGGAAAAGACGTCTAATCAAGTTTGGATGTCTTGACCATTCATAACTTTTGATTGTTCAACACTTTTTGATTCAGTTCTATTGAACAACACCTTAGACCCTCAATTTGAAGAGGTATGTTGCTCATTGGAGCAGGTTTCAGGATTGTGCCAATGCTGAATAATACACGTAACTATAACTAAAGAATTGCTGAGCAATCAGCCAACATCCAGCAGTTACTTCACAGCGCAGAAGATCTCGGCAATTATCTATATGTTTATACAAGTTTGAATTATGATGTTTGGTTAAGAAAATTATTGGACCAAATTCAGAGGATTCTTCAATCCATACTCAAAAAATATAGTGAAGGAGGGATTTTTGGCTCTAGTGATAAATTCCAAGTATCTGTTTGATTATTTCTAATGGGTTCTTTTGTTTTTTTGATTTGAATAGGTTCTTTCGAATTGGAAGCGTAGTTCTTGCAGTACACGATGCAAGTGATGTATTTCTTGAAGGAGCAAAGATGTTTAAGTACTCGGGTAAGGAAGTGGGAGCGAGCGTGATGTTTGGAATGTTTGCTATCTCGTGGCTTGTACTCAGACTCGTTATCTTTCCATTTTGGGTTATAAGAGCCACAAGGTACCTAACCATTTTTTGTGAATCCTGTATCCATAATATCTCCATTTTTGTGAATCTTGTATCCATAATATCTTCATTTGGTTGGTTGGCAGCATCAATCTTCTAGACGCTTTGAAGCCATCAGAAGCATATGATATGAGCTTATACTACATCTTCAATACTATGCTGTTGAGTCTGCTGGTGTTCCATATCTACTGGTGGATTCTCATCTTCAACATGATCATGAGACAGCTCAAGAATAGAGGACAAGTTGGTGAAGATATACGATCTGGTCAGTCTTACTTTTTCCTGCTTTTACTGTTCGTTTTTGGCGTTTGACCAACTAACTAACTAACTAATGAATTGAATCGGATTTGCAGATTCGGAGGACGATGATTAGTTTTTTTGGCGAAAGAATAGAGTGTTATCAATTGTATGTACCTCTTTGAAAATAGGGTTGGAGTTCCCATGCACATATGAATGATTACTTGTCTTGATTCTTTGCACTAATAGAAAAGCCTCCTAGCTTTACTAGGATTAAACCCCCTTCATATGTTTATTCTTGATGCCTGCATTTTTAACCACATATCTCCTCATATTAAAAAGTTGAGAGACTAGTTCATGAATGAAAAGCTCAACCTACTCTTGTGATTGGAACTGATGACCCAAAACCCACCTGTTGGGTTGCAGCTCATATCTCATTAAAGACAATTACTAAATTAATCTCTTTTAAATCACAATTTATTATGAATTATTTTGATCGATTCAAATTTTTTCTTATACTTTCCGTCTTAACTTTTATTCTCATAAAATTCTTTTTATCAAATTTGATATATATATATATATATATATAATGTTATTTGAGTTATTAATTTGTAAGAAGAAGAAAAAAAATGACATGTGATTTTTTTTTTATGAAGGTGATTAATAGGAAAGGGATAAGTCAAAGGCGTGGACATAGCGCAGAGTCTTGGTCCATTCTTCACCTTCCAAGACTTTCTTTTATATTCAAAGTCAAACTTCAAAAGTCAAAGAGTAATTTATTTATATATTAAATAAGAAGGTCTAAGAATGAATATATATATATATATATATATATATATGCCTTGTATTTACATGAAACTTAAAAAATTTAGTCTGATTTTTGGTCAATTTATTTAGGTGATGCAACAACATGACAAATTCTTATAACTTTTCATATATTTATTTTAGTTTATTTTCTTGAAAAAGATGTGACTACAAAATAAATATGATGGGGGAAAAGATATGTAGGGTCAAAAATGAGATGATGATGATGATGATGATGATAAAGATGATGATGATAATGGATGAGTACCAAATAAATCTATTGGTGAAAGATATGCATCTCCTCAATCTTATCCATCTTTTTTTTTTAAATGCACCAATCGGAATAAACGTGCAGCATCGACTTCAACTTGTATCATATCGTTACGCATAATTCATATTTATATACATCAACAAGTGGTGTTTGATTGGTTTGATCTTGACTTCAAAGATCAAAAATAACAGAAGGTCTCAGGTTCAAATCCAAGAAGTAATAAAAATTCTCTTGTGGCTACGAAGTTACCGCATTTGAATCTTCGTGACCACAAAAAGATTTTTATTCCTTCTTAGATTTGAACATTAGACTTTCTGATACTTTTGACTTTTGGAGTCATGCTCAAACCAATCAAACACCACCCTTGTGGTTAACAACCAATCTTTTTAATGTACAACCTAAGGTTACTTTCTATAAATATACAAGGATATTGATTTATATCCATTAAAAAAACGTAGAGTTAAACTGAGAAGCCAAATGGCTAATTTTTAATATGTAGTCGTTATTTTGTCAACATTTATTTTATTTATTTATAAATAATTAATATTTTGAATTCCATTTTTGGTAATTAAAAAAATTCATTCCTAAAATAGAAATCGAATTTTTAAATAAAATTAATTATGATGCTGTAAGTATTTAAATATATTAATATTATTTGTAGCTCACTTTTTTTAATATACTCGTTTAATTAATTAAGGCTAAAATATAATTTAAAATTAGACCAAATTTTCTATTAATGGGTCGAAATCATCACCATTTACAAAAAGTAATAATATTTTATAGAATTTAAATATAAAATATTTTAGAACTAATAAAGATGTGTTTACATTTGTAGGCCTCGCTAAAAAAAGGAATATTTTTAAAATATAATAAACTAAACATTTTTTAAATATATTAAAAAAAATTAAAATAAAAGGCAAAAAGTTGTACTTTTTAAGCTTAAACCAATATTTAAATAAATGTTTTACATGTGAAGGGCATCGGATAATATTTTTTATTTGTCAATTATTTTTCGTAATGTGAAAAACGAAAACTATAATAAACATTTTGTATTTTTAAATGAAAATTAAATTATGACTTACCAAAAAGTCAAATATTATATTTTCTTAATTAAAAAAAATATATTATTTGCTTATCATTCATTTGAAATTAAAATATTATATTATATACTAAGTAATATATTATGTAATTTAATTATCGTCTCAAAACAATATTAATAATATACTTATTATAACATGTGTGTATACTGTGTAAATATGAATAATACATTTACATTTGTACAATCAATACAACTCAATTTCAACCATCCATTTAATTTGATGAATATATGATTTCATAAAAGTTTTTATTGTTTCATAATATAAATTATTAATCATAATTAATGAACTCTAGTTATCTTCCATAAATATTCAAATCTTAATAAATAAACTCTCATTATTTCCATAAATATCTCAAATATTTTAAGATATTTCGAAATTAAATATTTTAAAATATCTTGTAAAAACAAGTGTTCATAGAAAGCTGTTCATATGACATTTGACAAATGTGTATTATAAAATAGCTAATATGACAACTTATTTTACAAGTGTTATAAAAACATGTTGGGATATCCAAATACGTCCCAACGTCTTATTGTTAACGTATTTATATATGATGCATAATTATTTGGTATTATAAGCCCAAATCCAGTAAAGTAGTTTACTGTAAGGGGCTGTTTGGCAGTTGCTGAATGGTTTGGTGCAGAATGGTTAAGTGGTCAGAATGGTTAAGAGGGTCAGAATGATTAAGTGCTGAATGAAATAATGTTGTTTGGTAAATGTTCTCTGAATGACAACAAATTACCATTTTAACCCTCTAAATAGTACCGAATGAATTGGAAGTCCGAAAACCCCAAATGGGTTCAAGTTTTTCTAGAGAAAAATTGTAACACAGAACATGGAATTGATCATCAAACACCCTACTTGATTTCAACTGCAATCCATAACATCAAATCCTTCAGCAAGAGCCTAAATGATATAACAAACCCTAAATGACGAACACCCAGATCGAGAAATGACGAACACCCAGATCGAGAAATCAATAATATAACAAAACACATATGTATTTAGACTTCAAAGAAACAAAGAATCAATCATAGAGCAAAACCCAGAACGATGTGAAGAAGAGCGGCTGGAAGAGAGGGTAATTTTGCTGGGTGTGGGAAAGCAGGAAGCTAATGACGCCATGGTAGCTTGCTGGGTTTTGCCTACGCAGTCAACGTCGTCACGCTTAGCGAGATGGTGGACGGAGGAGACGGAGACAGTGGAGGCGACCGGCGATGGAGACGGTGGAGGTGACCGGAGATGGTGGAGAAGACAACCGGCGTGTCTGTGGAATGAAGGCGACGTGAAGGCGTGTCTGGAAGGAGAGGAGATGGGGGAAGGGTAGTCCTCGAAAAATAAACCTCTGAACCATTAGGCAAACCCATTAGATGCAAAATGGTTAAGAGGTAATTGTCATCATTAAGAGGTTCTATTTTTTTTGCTGAACAGCCTCTGCCTCTTACCGATTAAGAGGCTTCCTTTTAATGTCACCATTAAGAGGCAAATAAACAGCCCCTAACATTTAGGCTATGTTCACAAATTAGTTGATAAACAAGTTGATAGCTGATAAAGTAGTTGGTAGCTGAAAAACTAGTTAAATGAATGAATCACGTTTGATAAAAACTAACTGCTAAACTACTTGAAAAATGTAAAATGATCAAAAATGACATGTTAAAAACTTAGTCAATGCAACATTTCACAATATTAGTAAAACAAATCAGTAATAATATATATGTTATTAAACCAAATAGTTAATAAATTAAATAATATAATATATTAATTAATATTAATTTATAATATAATATATGATAAATTTTGGATTTGTGTAACAAAACAAAAGATTTAGAAAAAAAAACTACTTTAATTGATAATTTTATATAACTATTACAATAATATGAATAAAAATAAAACTGGTTAATATTACATGTTTTAATTAATTAATAATTTTTCAAAGATAATAATTAATAGTTAAATTAAATATTTTATTAAAACTATTTATCAAAATTATATTATTTACAAAATAAAAGAAATATAACTTTAATCTTTATGTAACTTAAAAAAAAATCATTTTTAAAATTGTTAGAATTGTATTTTGATGACTATATATATTAAATAATAATTAAAAAAAAATATAAGAATAGAGACAGTCACGAGTGACCATAACCCCCTCTAGATCATCTTCAAGATTTAGCGATTTTTCTAAGTCTGGAAATACAACTCTTAAACGCACAGGTTCAGACTTTGCATGCAACGTTCAGAGTTATGCTTTAGTAAAAATCTAACCGCCAAGGGGCTCAGCCCCTTGGAACCCCACCAAGGGCGTTGCCCCCTTGACCCTCGCTTTATTGCAATCTAAGGTGATAGAGACAACATTTGTAACTGTGCACTCCGCACCTCCTAACTTACGTATTTTTGCCTCATTTCCTTAATTGATCTCAAGTAAATCACAGTTACACCAAAAATGTTTGATAACACTAAAATCACCAACACATTTCAACTTGCTCTACATTCTGTTCGTAAAGGAAATTTGATTCGGGCGAGTTTCCAAGTCTCTTAACCCACATTGGAACTGACATAAAGGTCTGGACAACGATTAAATGAAGCAGTTTCCATATTGCTTGGTATGATGCTCTTCCTAATATATCGAATACACTCCCAATAGAGATCAGATTAGCATTTTAATCTGTAATTTCGTCTTTATCAATTTCTCCATTTCCAAGCATTGTAACATCGATCGATAATAGTGGATTTCTCGGTGGTATCCTTCGCCTGTGGTTTTTTCCGTTTTGGGTTTTCTATGTAAATATCGTGTTGTTTTCTATCTCTTATTTATTTCCGTCAAGTTACAATTATTATGGGGTTCATTAGGGGCCGTTTGGTTTGATGGAATGATTTGAGGGATTTAGAATTGGAGAAATTTGAATTTGAAATCTTTGATGTGTTTCGTTTGTGGGATTTGGAATTGAATTAAATTTTATTCTCTATATATAATTTATAAAAAACCAAACTATAAAAGTAATAGAATTACCTTTTTATTTGTTGATTACTACAAAACAATTCCTTTTAACATATTTTAAAATATTATTACATACAAATCCTGCGAAATCCCATGAAATATAAAACACTATGGAGATTTCAAAATCCTATGTTTATAGGTTTCAAATCCAGGAAATCCATCAAACCAGACATGAGAATGGAATAGAATTCAATTATAAATCTCTCCAAATTCAATTCAATCTTGCAAACCAAATGGGATCTAAGGGGCTGTTTGGATCATGGGAATTTGGTGGAATTGAAAGGAATTGGAATGTCCAATCATTTGACCAAATTCCAAATAGAGTGTTTGGTTCACATAATTGATGTGAAGGAATCCTTCCAATTCCAACAAATTCCTTAAGTTATTGATTTCACAATTCCACCGCATATACCACGGATTTCAAATTCCAATCCGACAAATTCCTTAGCCCTCATCCATTCATCAACGCTATATCTCTCGATTTGCTTTGATCTGCTATGCTCGATCTCCTTTGCTCGATCTCGTTTAAAACTAATAATTGCAACGGGCCAGGTTTGGGCCAGTTATTGGTATCCCCGTCCCCGAAACCGATAACTAAAACCGTCCCCGTGACCGCCCTGATCCCTGTCGAGAATCTTATCGAGATCCCCATCGGGTCCCCGCGGTTTCCCCGATCCTGGTTGGGGAACCTGTTAAGTAAAAATCTTTTTTTTTTCGTTCACCATTGGTTATAACCGAACCCGAAACTGAAACACGAAACAGATCTAAAAAATTACAATATGTTAATTTTCACAACTAAAAGTAAATTACAATTTTTTTTTAAAGATGCAAGTTTAAATGTCTCAAACATAATCGAACCAATTACAAACAATGTGTTAGATTACAATATAAAACTAAACAGAACTTCAAATATCATACAACTAAAATCACGATTTCACAATTAGACAAATAAACTACACTTTTTCGTGAGCCTTATTTGGGTTCTTGAAGTAAAGTGGATAAAAGTTTTTTAAATTTTAATGTTACTATTTTCTCTTAATGATATTATATATATATATATATATATATATATGTATATAAATTAAAACTAATATATATACACATATCAGGACGGACCAGACCGATGATCACCGTCCCCTCCCCCGTTATAATCTCCGAATTTGTCCCTGATCCCCGCCCCGTCCTCGATAAGATGTCCCCGAACCCGGTCTGAAAGTTTCGGTTTTCACTATCGGTTTTGGTTTTTTTTGCCATCCCTATTCAAAATTGCTCGATCTGGTATGCTCGACCTCTCTCTCTCTCTCTCTCTCTCTCTCTCTCTCTTTCGTTCTTTCCATCCTAAAAAAGATTTTCTCGAAATGCCATCTATGTAATTTTCTCGTTGAATTCCGTGAACGAAACAAAAAATTCCAATTCTGTTAAGAATTCCATTCAATTCCATCTAACTAAACGCAATCAAAAGACATGGTCAAATTTCATTTCATTCCCTCAAAGTCAAATTCATTTGATGAATTCCAATTCCATCAAATTACATTCTACGAACCAAACGCCCCCTAAGTTTTGAGTTTTATTTTGAATCTTGGATGAATTTTCATCAAGTTTTCAACTCGTTTCGACCTCGATTTTGGATTAATTCTAGAGATGACAAAAAAAAACGAAACCAATGGAGAAAATCGAAAACCGAAACTTTTGGGCCGGGTTTGGGGACATCTTATCGGAGACGGGGCGGGCATCGGAGACAAATTGGGGGATTTTAACGGGGGCGGGGACGGTGATCACCGGCCTGGCCCGGCCCGATATGTATATATATATATATATATATATATGTATATATATATATATATTAAAAAAATAGTAACATTAAAATTTAAAAGATTTTTATCCACGTTACCTCAACAACCCAAATAAAGTTTACGAAAATGTCTAGTTTATTTGTCTAAATTCGTGATTTTAGTTGTATGATGTTTGAATTTCTGTTTAATTTTATATTGTAATCTAATACATTGTTTGTAATTGGTTCGATTATGTTTAAGACATTTAAACATACATCTTTAAAAAAAATGTAATTTACTTTTAATTGTGAAAATTAGTATATTGTAATTTTTTCCAGATCGGTTTCGAATTCGGTTATAACCAAAGGTGAAAAAGAGGATTTTTACCTATAACGGGTATCGGGGAAACCGCAGGGACCCGACGGGGATCAGAGTGGTTATAGGGATGGTTTTAGCTATCGATTTCGGAGACGAAAATACCAAATACCCGACCCGTTGTCATTCATAATTAATTCGAGTGAGATCTGATCGATATTTGCAACGACTTAAAAAAATGGTTAACAAAAAATGAATCTATGGACGAAAGTGAACTTTAAAGAAGCGTTTTTAGTGGATTATGACGTTGACACGTGTACTTTATAGAATAAAGTCTAATAAACCGCGTGTGAACACAACCGGTTACAGCCACTTCCTCACTCTCTCACTCTCAAATTCCCACGTGCAAATTCTTCAGGTGATTCCCGCCATTCAAAACCGTGTCCCAACAGTGTCTGAGCTGGCTGCCACGTCAACACCCTCTTCATATATATACTTTGACCCTCCCCCTTTCCTTTCAAATTCAGCTCCAAAGTTCGTCAAACAATCTACTTTCTCTCTCTAGGAAAAACATGCAGAGGATGATCAAGGAAGAAGCCACCACCGCCGGCCACCATCAACTGCCATTGATACGCCACCCACCGTGGCGGCGGCTCACTAATGATGAAGAGGCTACGGTAATGGTTAATGCTTTGAAGAATGTAATGATGGGAGGTTCCGGCTCTACGAGTGTTAATCATCAAAACGGATATGATTTGAGGTTATTGCCGCCGACTGAGTACACCACCGTCAACGGTGGCGCTGCTGGTTGTTCTGTTCCGGTGCCAGTCTCTGTTCCTGAAACTTGTGCAATTTGTAGGATTAAAGGGTGTCTCGGGTGTAATTATTTTAAAGATGATATGAATTTGAATGGTTTCGGTGGCGGTGGCGGTGGAGGTGGAGTTGGAGCTGGTGGTCCGATCAAGAAAAAGAAGAAGAATTACAGAGGTGTGAGGCAGCGGCCATGGGGGAAATGGGCGGCGGAGATACGGGATCCACGTAAAGCTGCTCGGGTATGGTTGGGGACGTTTGAGACGGCGGAGGCGGCGGCGAGAGCTTACGACAGAGCTGCCATAGAATTCAGGGGACCCAGAGCAAAGCTAAATTTCTTATTTTCTGATTACACGACATCGTCATTGCCGGAACATAATCAGCAGCAGGCGGCGCCACCGATATCAAGAAAGAAGCCGGAAGGCAACACTAGCCGGAAATTCGAGTTGGCCGGAGAAAAAGGGAAGAAACCCATTACAGAAAACGAGTTTTTGGACGCAACTGGGGAAGAGGAGATTCAAGAATGGATGATGATAATGGATTTTAATGGCAATTCCTCTGATTCAACCCTTAGTGGAACTGTTTATAGTGTTTGATCCATCACTTAACCATTTTATTGGTCAAACTACACATACTATAAATGGAATTTGGGATCGTTTCTATTAATAGTTGTAACGGTCAATATGAATGAAATTTCTCCAAATTTTATGAAAGGAGATTGAATGCTAATTACGAGTTTTTACATGGGTTTAGAGTATTTTATCGATCCGTATAAAGTTATAGCCGAAATTGTTCAGGTTCAAATTATTAATTATTTGGTTAGGTTTTATTACTAGTTTAGTTTCAGATTATTAATCGTTTAGATTTCGTCAATTTTTGTGCTTAACATATATCTATGTTATCTCATTTATGTAATGTAATCAAACGATTTAGATGTAGTAGGGCCTACAAAAAAAATTTGAAATGTCCCTGGTTTCTTGATAAATGAAATTGATCTCCCAATATGAGCTACGTTTGATTCCAAAACTTGTGCACATCTGAATCCAACCCGTGACCAGAATGCAAATACCAAGGGATGATCTAAAACGGTGTTCTCGTAAAGAAATAAGCCGGTTGACTATCGTCGTTTCCCCGGTATCTCTGCTTGGTGAGCTCTATCACGGCTTCGCCACCTTACACCATCATTGTCCCACGACCTCTGCTACACGAAAACACTAGTTTTGTATAAAGAAAAAAAACCCTCATAGATCTCAATTTATACTTGTATATTCGATTAATTTTGTGAAATTTTTATCTTTCACGTTCTCGCTATCCCCTGTTTTGAGGTGATTATCACATGGAAGGAAAACAGACGGAGGAAGAGCTGTATATTGTGTAATGACCATTTCCCATGATCAACCAACGAGCATCAGTGAAATAACAATTCTTATTCACAATTATGTGAATGTATTGATCGTCATTAATGAATGGTTTGAAACATTTATTAATATTAATGAATCTTGTTAAAACTTTCCTAATATGGAAAGATCTTATTTCAAGTAGTAGGGAAAGATATCTCTATTCCTAGATAGCACACAATGAAATGGAGGTGGATGTGTTGTTTGTTTTGCTTCACTAATTCCATCTCAAGGAAAGCAAACATGTTTTCCACATGCATAGAGGGTTTTATATATATATATATATATATATATATATATATATATATATATATATATATATA